TAAAAGATAATTTACCTGAATTCCCTTTTTTCCCAATTGTTTAATGATTCATGAGGATCCTAAAGTCATAGAGTTTGTGCTATTTGAAATGAAAACTTTAATGGCATATATACTATAAAGTTATTAGATGATAAGGGAAATATGTGAAGTTCATTTTAAATACATTTTAGAAATAAGCTTAGATGGGCAGAAATTTAATTATAGACTAGATTGTATAGTTAGTTTCATTTATAATATAAATGTTCAAAGGAAGTAAAATAGATTTTTTTTAAGTATCAATGAAGAGTTAACACAAGAGTTATACTTTTAAATTTTTTAAGCCAAAAAATTCACATTGGTTGGTGCTAATTAAATATTAAATATTCTATTATATATTAAATCAACTAATTTGTGTTAAATGCTTAATAATGTTAGCTTTTATTAGTAATAACCATAATATAAAATTAAAATGTGTTACATACATAACAAAAATTGTAATTTTCTAGAAAATGGTTTGTACTCATACTGAGACAAGCAGACCTGGTTTACAAAATTTTACAAGAAAACTGGGAGGAATAAAATTTTTTTAAAGTAATAGGAGATGAAATATGAGAGAAGTGAAAACAATTTAATTATTGATTATTTTAATTTTCTATAACTTTATGGTACATATTTCCAGAATTTAAGTAAAAGCTAAAACTTTTTCTGTTGTGTTTATCAGCAAAATTTTTTATAATGTAATAGACTCTTATGAATGATTGAATACACAGCTCAATTTTCAATAACATGCCTAGCAAGTTAATACTTTTTATTATGATGTTAGGACATGAAATCTTAGGCAATTTTCCACTGTACTTTTAATATGCCAAGTGTATTACCCAAAGGATTTCAATAAAGAAACCTCTAAATATATTAGATATCCTAGTATTATTTAAGAAAATAACGAGAGTCAACCTTAAGCAAAATGAGGAAGTCAATACAATGTGTTTTCTGGTAAGCTACAGATAGCTTTCAACGTTTATTTTATTTAATCACACTTTAGTGAGCAATGATAAGCATTTTTATAAAAATGAAAGTAGAGGTGGGAGAAAATAAAAGAAAAATACATTTGTTTTATTAATTACATATTTTGGGTACAATTAAGACTTACTTACAGAGTAAGTATTGTACATTGTGTATGTTTAAACCAGTTTCTGTCTAAGTTGATAAATATTACAGAGTAGAACTGTGATCCATAGTGTCCAATAGCTTATTGTTTCAGAAATAGATCTCCAGAATTTTTTCCTAAGGTACCTTTGTGTGAACTTGAACCTCACTTTTCCATGTC